CCTCTGGTATATGGGGTCAGTGCCCTACTCCTTGAACCACAGGCATGGAAGCTGACTCCCTTATACCTTAGGTTCAAAACCAAGGGTTGATATTTTTCAGGATTATACTGTTTTTACATATTTTTTTCCTCCAAAACCCTTTTCAGAGACCCAAGTCGGCCGATGCTCACTTAACATTAGGTGCCTTACTTTGTGATGAGTATAGAAAATTAAGAACTAAGTAAGGCTCAGTCCCTCATGGCCAAAGGGAAGGAAATGAATAAAAAGAAAAGAAAGGTCCAGGAATGGTGGCTCATGCCTGTAATCCCAGCACTATGAGAAGCTGAGGCAGGTGGACTGCCTGAGCTCACAGGTCTCAAACGACCAGCCTGAGCAAAACCGAGACCCTGTCTCTAAAAATAGCTGGGGGCGGCGCCTGTGGCTCAAAGGTGTAGGGCACCAGCCCCATATGCTGGAGGTGGTGGGTTCAAACCCAGCCCCGGCCAAACAAATAAAGAAACTGTAAAAATAGCTGGGTATTGGGGGGGGGGTGCACCTGCAGCCCCAGCTACTTGGGAGGCTGAGGCAAGAGAATTGCTTGAGCCCAAGAGTTTGAGGTCGCTGTGAGCTGTCACAGAACAGCACTCCACTGGGGGAGAGAAAGTAAGACTCGTTCTCAAAAAACGAAAAAAAAAAAAAGAAAGAAAGGAAGAAAGAACGAAAGGAAGTTAACATTTGTTGAATGCCTACTATAAGACAAATACCATCATTTAATCCTCCCATGTATTACCTGCAATTTACTAATGAAAAACTAAGGCTGAGGAAACGCGAGGGCTGTTTATCCTAACACACTATTGTTTCTAATGCCATATGAGGTCTAAGGCCAACCAGGAGAAGAAAGAGACTGCTTTGGGTTAAGCCTGTTCTATCACTTGCGAACTCTGTGACTTGAAGCAAGTTGTGGCCTATCTAAAAACAGAGAATAACAGTACTTCATAACGTCATGAGGATTAACCTAAATTAAAACATAAAGCATTCTGAATAGTGCCTAACAAAAAAATTAGCCTCAGTAAATGTTGGCTACCTATTTGTATATGATACTATTTTTTTTTTTTTTTTGAGACAGAGCCTCAAGCTGTCACCCTGGGTAGAGTGCAATGACATCACAGCTCATAGCAACCTTCAACTCTTGGGCTTAAGCAATTCTCTTGCCTCAGCCTCCCAAGTAACTGGGACTACAGGACCTGCCACAACGCCCGGCTATTTTTTGGTTGTAGTTGGCATTGTTGTTTGGCGGGTCTGGGCTGGATTTGAACCCGCCACCTTAGGTGTATGTGGCTGGTGCCTTAGCCACCTGAGCTACAGGCGCTGAGCCCATGATCTTATTTTTAGTGCTATTTTCCTCTGCATTCTGCAAGATTTACTTGCTGTTACCTTTTAGTACCCTCCTATTTTTCATACCAGCAATCATATGCTTAAATTTCTAAGAACTTCTGCTTTTTTTTGGTCATTCCTTTTTTCTCCACAGCATTGTCTTGGTTTTATGGATAGATCTCAGGACTCAGGTTTGGATGATATTAACCAAAATTTTAAAAGTTCTCTACTGTTCCTGAATTACCTGTTTCCTTAAGAATCAGCTGTTCTGTTTATTTCAGTCTTTGTCATTCATGTCATGATTTTCCTTATATGTCAAATGATTAGTGACAACCTCCAAGTTCAGTATTCTGGCAGTTCTGTATTCAAAATAAAACTCTCTCCAAAATGGGAAGATTGGCTGGGTGTGTATAAGGAAAGCTTGTCGACTGCCACCCTGTAGTACACTAGGAAGCCAGACTTGGGGTCAGGATTGCCCTGACCCCTTAATGCCATTATGTGGAAAGCAACCCTGGGGTCTCAAAGTCATACCAGCAGTCCCAGTTCCTATAGGTAGTTTATTTTATTTATTTAGAAGAGCTTATCAGTTCTCACAGGGAGTTAGTCTGCAACAGCAGTCTGTGGGGCGGTCAACATGAAGGCTTTAAATTAGTTTTCCATGTTCTAGCACTGCCTTCTCATTTTCACTCTCCTTACTTCTAACTCCTAGCCCAGAACCAAGAAAGTTGGCCCCCACCTCCACTGAAACTTTGAAAGTTCTGGATTCTGAGCTCCAATTTTATCTTCTCTAGTTCATCCATCAGCTAGCTTCCACCTGCTTTTTACACTGCAATTACATCTGCTTTTACATTGCTGGTCCTCCCAACCCCTCTTTCTCCTTATAGTAACAGACTGTCTTTTGTATTTCTTTTCCTTTTTTTTTTTTTTGTTGAGACAAGAGTCTCATCCTATGTCCTGAGCAGAGTGCAATGGCATCTTAGCTCACTGCAACCTCAGACTTGGGCTATGGGCATCCCACTGCCTCAGCCTCCAGAAGCCACTGGGATTTACAGGTGCTCGCCACAGTGTCTAGCTGGGTTTTTCATTTTTTTGAGTTGGGGGTCTCACTCTCACTCTTAATAGTCATTTTAATTGAGAAAGAGAGGGAGGAGAGAAAGGAAGAGTGAGGGAGAGAGAAAGAGCACATGTGCTAAGAGCATCCTCAATTCCCTTCATAAACTAGAGAAACTTACGACATTTTTGCTTTAAGCACAAGGTAGAAATCTTTACACCAGCCTTAACTTTATGCAGGTAAAAATTACTAGAGTTGTGAAACACAGAGCAGAAATGTGGGGCCTTTATTACCATTTACCTTCGTATTTGAGTAGTTTAAACTTAAAAAGACAAGTGCCACAAAGTTGAAGTACGTGCTTTTATGCAAATCTGTAATTGTGGGCTCTGAGTTAGGAAGATCTGGAAAAGCTTTGTAGACGAATTTCTACTTCAGATAAGACCCCAAATATGAAAAGAGGGTGGGAAGAACATTCCAGGAACAAGAGAGAATTGTTTTTAAACTATTTTGTATGATGGTTCCTTCCCATTCAAACTGCTTTTATTAAATTATACTTTGGTAATGTACCTTTAGCTTATATCAAAAGAATAATTTTAAGAAATAAATATATCTAAAGTATACAAACTAAAGGCATTATATCAATGCCTTCATGAGGGGACTTCATCAGGATTTTTTTTTTTTTTT